TGATCAGTTATAATATTACATTTACAAGAGAACTTCAGATCATAGAAACGTTTGAAGTATTATATATGGCTATTGTGACATACTTGATATTAAACCCGAAAATGTGTTACAAATTACGATTCGATGTCATCGAGTCAATGCGAACTTTGCTGCATAATATAAACTTCGCCAGGGCTACATACAGTAGATTTCCTTCTCCTCGACTTTTTACCACCCAAGGCTATAGAACCCAGTCTGTTCTACAATTTACCCATAGCTGGGGGATTGGTCTTATACCTTGTCTAAGGGTATTAACACGTATGTGAAAATAATGAACTCGATTTGAATTTGAATTCGGCTCACCTATTCCTCAACCCGTGTTTCTATCCATCACTCTATCGTACCAGATTAAACGGAGTATTAATTATTAAAAAGAGGGTAACTTTATATTTCGAACAAGATGTATATATAAAATGAAAATCAGAAAGATTAAATGATCAATGGATCCGAAGGTTTTTTAATCATTTCACTCCAAGCAAGGCAATGAAGCCACTAAGACGCAATGGGTTACTGAGTGTTAGAGAATATGAAAAAAATATACTGTTAAAGGGAGGCGACAATAAAAGAAAAGAATTAAAAAGTTAGAAGATAATGATTGACATTTTGTTTAAATTTTTGAAGATCGAAATTGTGAGAGAAATCAGAAGCCGGAAGAGAGTTCCACTAATAAAAAGTGAAATAGAACTTATGGGTATATCTAGCCATTTCAATTGTAAAATGATGAGACATTGCCACCAATTTGGTACCCCGATTAAATCCATAAAGTCTAGATATCATAGAGAAGAATTCATCTGAACAATGACCAAGAAAGTATTTAAACAAAAGGCACAGGGAAGCTGCATTATGGCGGTGTGAAAAGGACTGAAGCCGAATTGCCAGATCAGGTCCAGTAACATTGCCGATTTTTCTTTGGATTTTATCAAGACTCCCATATATAGGAGAAACATCACCAAACCAGATGTGACAGCGATATTCAAAGCATGGACTTATAAATATGTAAGATAGATTCAAGAGAGAAAAAATGTTTACCATGACACAGTGAACCAACTTACCTAGCTGCAGACAATGTTTTAATCGACAATGTACAAGAGGTGGCTATCCGATTGGATAGGATTGTTGCATAATGAGAGACCAAAAATGATAATGGAAGCATCAGTTTGGCTCAAGGAAATACATTGTAGCACTCACTAATTCTAAGATGAGGGCGCCTCGGCGTGGTGTAATGGTTAGCAAGCTTGTCTCGCTAGATCAATTACAACTGAAAAGTGAGTTCGATCCTCACTAGATGCCCCATGCTTTCGGCCTTGTGCCACATCTAAGCTATGCTTGGAAAATAACTAATTCTAAGATGAATTTTCCTAGAAACGAACTTCAAGAATATCTCGGTAATTATTGTACAGACGTCTTTCAAGCAAACTAACATCATCAATTCGATGCACTTCTCTAAGAGCATCGAGTATATTTGACAGGACAATCGTCTTCAAAGATCATGGACCACTTGTGGGCTTTATGCAAAGAACATTCTAATTGTTCAGCTCGTGTGCATGACAAGGTTGGTTTTGATCAAGGATGCGGAAACAAATGCAAGCATCCATCATGAAAATGTCACCCCGCGGATCCACAGGACAGCATTGTCCTTGAGATCATTTTTCTCAAACTTCATTAATATATGCGGCAGAGCCTTCAAGGGGACTGTATACCGTTATGCAAAAGACTGCGTCAAAAATACTGGTAAACAATGGATATACGTTGATTGCTTCTGTTTTACGTCAGTTTTTGTTTAGTTAGTAGAGATTCTTAAATGGATACAGACCAAATAAGAAAGATTGGTTAGTTGATTTTCTTTAACGGCATATCAATGGTTTATATCTATGGGTTATTTAATGCCGAAACCTGAATCTGTCTATATTTCTGAGATGAGCTATTGTAACTATTTACACTATTTACATTGTTCGATCTGTTGTCGTTATATTTATTGTCATATTCACCAGATTGTACACTTCGGCCTTCATCGGGTGATATTCGTTGGAATTTCGAATCGTAACCTTTATTTTGTCCACTTGGGTAGATTGTTCTAGTTCCACGTGACATGCCTCTTCTGGATATCTCACTTTCTTTTATTTGCCTTTAGTAATTCAGTTGCAGCAGAGGTGAACAAAAAAACGTCGAGTTTTCTATAAGGGATAGAAGCATTTGCGCTTAAGTGAATACGTCGAACGCAAGTAGAATTGGAACTCGACTCTCTTATTAACAATTCCGAGCCATTATACATTACACCACCCGCACATCCAAGCTTGCAGCACCTAGTATTTCTAAGCGGTTACCAGTTTAGGTACTGACCAGACTAGACGTTGCTTAACGGCCACCGGTGTTTCAAAGCGATATGACCGCAAGCTCTTATAGCTTTTTCGTGTCTTTTTTATTATTTAAATGAAAAAAAACAACATATTTATTCCTTGTGATGTTTTCGAAACTTTCTTTCCTTTCGTTTCATTTGATATCAAATCTCTGTCACTTAGTTTCTCATTCTTTTCTTTTTCTTTTTTTTTTTTCGTTTTCTTTATTTCACACTTTTTCTTGTTATTTTCTTTCATTTTTTTGCGGCGGGGGTTGTGGGGGGTCTTTTTTATTTTCCTTTCGCTTCGTTTTTCTTTTCTTTTCAGGAAGCCAAATTCGTATTTCAGTCAGATTCGTCACATTCACTTACGTGTAAATATCCTTGAAAAAAATCTGTATCTATCTCTTCTCCCCTCAGCTATGGGTTAAATAGCAGAATAGACTGGGTTCTACAGCCTTGGTTGGCAACTAGTCTACCGCCCGAAAGAAATGGCAACCTACTACGGGAAAATCTGCAATGTCAATCCTGAATCGAAAGAGACATGATCTCCCAAGCGTGTATCCTATATGCCACTTAACTGTGTAAATGGATGACCAGAACAAGAACTGGATGGTTTAGTGTTGTGGTGTCCTCCCTCTAAAAAGTCTATGTTGGACCTTTCCGCCTACTATAAGATTAGTAGGAGAGAAGGCCTTGGGGGAACAGTCGCATAGATTGTTCAACTGTCGAATTCTCTGCCTCGGCGGAGAGGAAGACGGACGAAGTTTTGCTGCAGGGCAAAGTTTCGTCTGGGGGGGTGGGGGGTAGACAGTTCCTGAACACGTTTATAAGGGTTCATCGGAAATATTTTTGGCCGTGTATGTGTAAATGAATGTCAGAGCTGGAACTAGGAGGGATAGTAAAGAGACAAACATTGCTTAGAGCTGTCTTTCCCACCATGGCGCTAGCGCACCATTTTAGGCTTTATGCTGGAAAGGGGGCAGTGGGAGTTATTATTTTATTTTGGTGGTCGGGGAACATATAAGGTGTGTGTGGGGGGGAGGGGTAGTGGGCCCATTTTTTTCAAATTTTCAAAATTATTCAAAATTGTCTACAAAAGGGAATTTCTGAAAGGTACCTAAAGCTGTGGGAAGCTATCAAAGCTTTTTTTCATTGATTTTTTAACTTGCTATTTGGCTGAATTTGTTTACACCGTAGTTACAAAACTTCTTACTAAACAAAACAAAAAAAAACAAAAAAAAAACGCCTGCAAATTTCAAACCGATTACTTCAACGACGCAGCATGGAACCTAGAGTAAGAGCCTTAGCCATTAAGCACCAAAATCAACCATCGCATTGAAAAACATTTAGGTAAGCTATCAAATATTTTTTTTTAGAATTTTAATGATTGGAATTTATAATTGAAATGAAAACAATATTAAAATTATTTTTGCATTAATACCTAACTGTTATCTTGCTATAAAAAATGAATTCAATATAATATTCGAAATTTAATTTGACCGGAGGGCGTAGACAAAAAAATGTCTGTGCCAAATGTTTGAAAAATGGTTAGGAAACACTAGGTTAGAGTTGCAAAGAAAAGGAAGTTGTAGAGAGACATTATCGGACGCATTCTGAAGAGAGACATAACAGAATTAATTCTTTTACTTACTTTCGTTCAGTTTGTCTATGGGAAAGGCATGAATTAATCTACTTCTCTTAGTTATTGGTTGGTTAAGAGTAGGAATTTTGTTTGAAAAAAATCATTCATATTATTAAATGCAATATTCACTCTCAAAAAAATATTCTTACAATACCAAATATGTTTCAGCTTTAAAGAACTCACTCAAAGAGTTGATAAGCCGTAAAAAACAAACAAACCAATTAATCTTTCCTCTTATAGGGTTTTTATTATTTATCATTTCAGTTTTAGACTTTTTCTTTCATTTTTCCGCCATCTTTTATCCAAATATTTACGCTTTTCTTTCTGTATTATTTATCAAACGATTTTGTATTTGACTTCTTCTTTTGTTTTGTCTCTCCCATCCTCCCGTTCATTTTCTTACCATTTTTTCCTCTTTTTTTATCATCCAACATTAATTACGTTCATCTCCATTTGGCCAGTTTCTCCTTAGATTTTTACCTTCCTTTACGCCATTCTCATTTTCTCTCATTGTCTCTATCAATCACTCCATCCCTATTTCTCTCCATATCCCCCTCTCTCTCACACTATCTCCCTATTCCTCTTCCTCATCTCCTCTCCCCTTCTATTTACATCACTCTATCCCTAACCTTTCCTTTCTCTCTCGATTTCTCTATTATCCTATTTCCTCACTCCGACTTGTTATCTCTTCTTATTTCTACCTCTTTCTCTTTCTTTCTCTTCCTCTCTCTCTCTCTCTTCCTATATCTCTCTCCCACTCCCTATCCATCCAACTATCTACCATTATTTAACGCTCTCTCCAGCTCTTTCTGTAGTATTATCACGCCCTCTGTTTCTTTTTCTTGTTATCTCCATCACTTTGCCCATTTTCGGCTTCTTCTTCGATTTGCCCTTCTTTATAATTTCTTGGGTCACGCAAACAAGCCTTAACAAAAACATCGCCCCCTCCAACCGGAAAGGTTCAACAATCTTCTTCAAGTTAATCTCTTTGACTTGACGTCATTTCTAATCCAGTTGGGTAAAACGGGATTTTCGATTGCCGCTTCACTTTTAGAATTCAGATTAGAAACCAATTAGATAAATTGAATTTCCGAGATGAATTTCATTTGGAAATTCCTTTTATATAATAAGCTTAGGAGAATCGCAATGCATAACTATATATATATATATATATATATATATATATATATATATATATATATATATATATCTGTGTGTGTGTGTGCGTGTGTGTCTGTGTCTGTGTATGTGTATGTGAGTGTCTATGTCTCTGTGTATCTAAAAGGAAAAGTTACCGGCCAATAATGTGTTACGAAAATAGTACGAATATCAAATTATAAAAATGCACAACGTATATATTTATATATTCACATACACGCACACACATACACACCCACAGATACACACCCATATATACATACATATACATATACTTTATTATAGGATATTACATTAAAATATGTGAATAACGCTACATAAATGCAATCATGTATTTTGATGTGTATTATCACATCTCATCAGGCGTTAGTATATTATCGCATTGTTATTGTGTTGAGCCCTCTTTTAAATTAATGTTACGAACGTCGGAATTTATATTAGATTCGTTCTCATTTATACACACACGCGTGCACACATACACACACACATACATACATGCATACATATATATATATATATATATATATATATATATATATATATATATATATATACTTGCCTTGAGTTGATGAGTTCTGCTGAATAGATAAGAGTCAAACGGTCACTCACGGAGGCATAAATGTATATGTATGTTTTTTTGCGAGTGTTTAGGGGATAACTGTTAGAGTAGTCCGATAATATGATAAAAGGTTACCACTTTACCAAATAAGTTTGGTAGTTTTTAACATGACTATATATATATATATATATATAGAGAGAGAGAGAGATAGATAGATAGATAGATAGATAGATAGATGATATGATAAAAAATATATATGCTAAAATAGGTTTAAGATATGCTATATTTATAGTTTAAAGTGCCCTATAGCAATGATAGTGCGTATGTGAATATAAAGTGGAGATTGAGATCAACACTCAACGGCGACAGTATATTCAATATATATATATATATATATATATATATATATATATATATATATATATATATTTATTTGGATGATTGATGTGAGTTTGTAGCTCACATATTTGGTTGGATTGATGTGAATTTGAAGTGAAGCGGCAATATGTTAGCTCTATCTCTGATATTGAGCGCTTTCTAATAAGTACAGCGCATATAATATATAAATAATTATATATATATATATATATATATTTGTATTTATATACACACATTTTTCACATATATATATATATATATATATATATATATATATATATATATAAAATAAATCCTAAGGAGCCAGGAAAACCTACCTACGTTTCATCTAAACGGATCTTCAGGGTAAGCTGGCTAAAAAGCATATGACGAAATAGTATTTATAGAAATAAACCGAATAATATTGATAAGAACCCCAAATTTTACATCGGATCCACCCAAGGTAACTTCAAAAAACGTAACTACAATCATTTAAGTAGCTTTAATCACGAAAATTACAAACCTATTACCAACCTGTACACATATATCTGGAATATAAAACAACATGGAAGTGACCCCTTTTTAAAATGGGAAATATTTGTAAAAAATGTCATAATTATAATACAGGTGACAAATTTTGTTCGTTATGTATGGAGAAAAAATTAACAATAGCCTCCTACAATGAACCTAATAATTTATTAAATCAAAGATATGAGATTCTAAACAGGTGTAGGCATAAGAAATTCTTGTTATTGGTGTAGAGGCTTTTTTCTTCTTCTTCTGTCACGTGGTTTTATGGTGATTAGTTTTTAATGGTTTTATCAATGAATACTGTTTCGTCATATTCTTTTTAGACAGCTTACCCTGAAGATCCGTCTAGGTGAAACATGGGTAGGTTTTCCTGGCTCAAACGATTTATTTTATTTATTCCCGCTCTACTTAGCGTACTGAACTCTTCTATGTTTTAGCTTTACTACACGCTTGTTTTTTGTTTTTTTTTCTTTGGACTAAAGATTTATGGCACTGGACGATTTTTTTAGCCCGGTACTGATGTTTTTAGTTCTATTTTTTTTTTTTTTTCCAATTTTTTTCTCGAGTACCGATTTGTTTTGAAATATCTACAACTTGTGCTATCCAAGCTTTTTTTCCAACCGATTATTACTATCTATCTATAAATATATATATATATATATATATATATATACAGTGGGTAGCAAAAGTATTTAACACATTGGTTTTTCTTACATATCTCAAAAAGTAACAGATGAATTTCAACGAAACTTATAGGAAATATTTAAACGAACATTGTCGATCAAAACATAGAAGGAAAATTTAAAACCACTGTTTTTAGAAACATTTATTAAAAATAAATAAAATAACCCATATGCAAAAGTATTTAACACACTTTACTAATATTTAGTATAGATTTAGATAGATAGATATGATAGGTAGATACAGCCTCTGTTCTGCTTCACAGCCTTCAGTCGTTTCCCGTAGTCTTCAACTAGTTTCTTGCAGGTACTTGTTGGTATTTTGACCCATTCTTCTTCATAAATTTTCTTCAATTTGTTTAAATTCGATGGATTTCTTTTAACTCGTAACTTCAAAAGTTTCCACAAATTTTCGATTGGATTTAAATCCGGTGACTGACTTGGCCATTCCAGGACATTAATGTCATTATTATCAAACCAATTCTTAGTTGTTTTAGCAGTATGCTTCGGGTCATTGTCTTGCTGAAATACAAAATCACGACCATATCCCAAATATGTGGCACTATTCAAGAGATGAGTTGACAAAATTTGAGTGTATTTTGCAGCATTCACTGTTCCTTCGATGATTTTCATTTTTTCTACTCCATTTGAGGAAAAACAACCCCACATCATAATATTTCCACCCACATGTTTGACTGTAGGGATGGTATTTGCTGGCTTGTATTCCGCTCCTTTTTTCCTCCATACATGAGTGCGCAAGTTTTCATCCGTAAAGCTCAATTTTTGTTTTGTCTGACCAAATTACTTTCTCCCAGAAATCATTAGATTCAATTTCATATTTCTTTACAAAATTCAAACGGCGTTTCAGTAATGGAGTCTTTCTCGGTGATCTTAAAGTGAGACCTGCACGATTCAGTGATCTTTTAATTGTATCCTTACTAACTTCAATTCCGGCATTTTTCAAATCATTCTGAATTTCTCGACGAGTTGAAAATGGATTTTTCTTTACAGTACAGGAAATGTATCGCTCATTAGCCTCATTTAAGATACGGGGACGACCACTTCGTTGAATGTTTTCAATAGTATCGAATTTTTTTCCATTTTCGAACAACAGCACCAACTGTACTCACAAGCAAATTCAAATCTTGAGCGATTTTTCTATATCTCTTAACATCTTTGTGTATTCTTTATGATCTTCTTGCGCATGTCGTTCGACAATTCATTTGTTTTCACCATTTTCTTGCAGTAGTGACAACAGAATAGCTGTAGTGTCTCAAAGCTGTTATCTAATAGCCAGTTGAGTGTCATGCAGTACTGACATTGGTTGACATATCACATCATATCAATATGGGTAGGAATCATGACGACACGTCTCTTCTAGCATAATATTTGAATTAGTGTTAAATACTTTTGCATATGTGTTATTTCATTTATTGTTAATAAATGTTTCTCAAAACAGTGGTTTTAAATTTTCCTTCTATGTTTTGATCGATAATGTTCGTTTAAATATTTCCTATAAGTTTCGTTGAAATTCATCTGTTACTTTTTGAGATATGTAAGAAAAACCAATGTGTTGAATACTTTTGCTACCCACTGTATATATATATATATATAGTATAACTATATAACTATATATATATATATATATATAGTATAACTATATATATATATATATATATATATATATATATATATCGTAAATTGCCATATGAATTAGCACTACATGCTGATTGTCAGTATCAGACTTCAAGTGATATAACACCGTTCTTTTATTGTTCTCTCTCCTTAATCTCGGATTTCTTCTCACTCAACTTGTGTCTTAGTAGCATTACCGTCTTGCTTGGGCTGAAATAATAAAAGAATATCTTTTCTCTATTCTATGAGTTTACATTTAGAAAAGACAATTATTATTTCTTTTGTTATGTCTGTTTTGAGGGGAAAAAAATTGTCAAAAATGTAAGTTGTCTTTCAAAATTTATAGTATGGCTGGACGCTTCTTTCCTTGTACGTCTACTTGACTGGGTGGCTAGACGGCGGCTCATGTAAATTTGGTACATTGGTACAGTGCCAGTCTGTGATTCATTTTGCGACTATCAGTCAGTTAAGTGGCATACGTTATAGACACTTCGGTGATCATGTCTCTTTCGATCCATAATGAACAAAGCAGAAAATTTTCCGGCAGTAAGATGCCGTTTCTTTCTGCAGTAGACTGGCTGCCAACCAAGGTGATAGAACCTAGTCTGTTCTTTTATTATATACATAGCTGGAGGGAGAATAGGTGGATTCCTACCTTTCTCAAGGGTAAAAGTTTTGCGCGTAAGTGAATGTAACAAACCCGGCTAGAATTCGAACCCGTCTCTCCAATTTCTCATTCCGAGCCGATGTTCATGACATCACAACGAATCCATTGCGGATTTTGTTACATTTTATGGAAGTGAGCAGATAATCTGGAGTGATCACCAGTTTGAACAAGGTTTGTAATCTCAAACGATCGGTCACAATGACTACGTGCTATCACAACAAACAACGACTATGGAACAGTCTTATAAACTAAATTTCATTCACAAGGCTTGGTGGTATCATTGCCATGAATGCACTTCTTTAACATATCGATCATGGTGAGATTGTAATCAGTTCTCAAGGTA